TTTTTTTAAGCGATGTTAGACACGCAGAGACGGCTAGATGCGAGCGGAAAAAAGGGCTTGCTCGAGGTTGCTTCACGAAGTTGTTTTACGGAGTCCGAAACCGACGTTAGAGAGTCTGGGAAGACAATTGTTAGATATCTTTCGCTTTCGATTTAGATAGTGGAAAGGCGTAGCGAAAGAGATCGCCGGGAACCTTGGAGGGAGGGTATTAGACGCCTCAGACAGCGGGATAGAGGCGTTTCTAGAGGTCCGAAAGCGAAAGCAAGGGCTTGCTCGAGGCTGCTTCAAAAACTTGTTTTACGGGATCCGAAAGCGACGTTAGACATCTAGGCCTGCACCAAGAAAACAATTTTTGGACGATTTTTGGTCTCGAATTAGATGATGGAAAGGCAGAGCGAAAGAAATCGCCGGAAGCCTTGGAGGGAGGATACGAGCATGGTATTAAGGGTATAAATTGTTTTTGGATGAATTTTAGTTTAGAAATAGGGTTTGCTGGAAATCGCATTACGACCTTTGTTTTTGAGTAATGTTAAACATCCAAATACGACTCGACGTCGCAAACAGTGGGATAAAAGCGTTTCTAGAGGTCCAAAAGCGAAAAAAAGGGTTTATTCGAGGTTGCTTCAAAAATTTGGTTTACGAAATCCGAATGCGCCATTAAACATCCAGGCCTACACTAAGAATACAATTTTTGGTCTCGAATTAGATGGTAAAAAGGCGTAACGAAGCAAATTGCCGGGAGGGGGCCTTTCGCTTCTCCTGCCGACAAATGCAAAACCGCTCGGAACACAACAATCTCATCGGCCCCCCGGCTCCCCCATCAAAACCTTCAGCAACAACCAGAATCATGCATCGGGAATCCCGAAGCCCCCACCGCAATTCCCCAGGTCCTGTAGACCCAAGATCGGCGGCGGGAGGCGTAGCCCTTATAATCCGGGCGCCGGCCACGAAGCCCGTGCCCTGCCCGGAGGGCCTTCGGTGCTAACCGAAGATTATAGACGGTCGCGCCGGCTGCCGCCGACCCTCGGTCCCAAAACGGGGAGGACGACCGGTCAATTAAAGCCCCTGTAATTTACAGTGTATCGTATGTGTGAAGTATAAAAAATTCTGTATTTTACAGGGTTTATTGCGCATATCGAAGTACGACGCGGAGAAGAGGAAAAAATGCAAAAATGCTGTATTTTTCAAGGGTAGTGTCGATAATGCGGGCCGGGCGGACAGGTTTAATCGACATTTTGTGGGTAGAGGCCCTCCAGACGATTTACATTTCCTAACATATCCCCAACATAGGCCCAAGATAGCCATCATATCCCCAACATATGCCCAACATAGCCTCCAAAATGGCTCAACATAGGCCTAACATAGGCCCAACATAGGCCCAACCTAGGCCCAACCTAGGCCAACATAGGCCAACATAGGCCTAGCATAGGCCAACATAGGCTCAACATAGGCTCAACATAGGCTCAACATGGGCCCAACATGTACCCAACATAGACCACATAGGCCCAACTTGGCCCAACCTAAGCCCAAGATGCGCACCAAATAGCTTCACTTTGCTCAATATAGGCCCCAGCAAGGCCAACATAGGCGCGCCATGCTCCCCACAGACCCAAGTGGCCGGCGCCCGGCTGTCAAGCGTAAGCCTTTAAATTAATATTCCAAATATCATCCATTCATTTCATTTCATCGAACCACCCTATTATATTCCCGTATCAATACCCCCTACCGCCCCCCGTACATCCACAAGTTGTTAAATCATTCCGTTTCATGATTATTGAGTTTACAAATAATTTTTAATATTAAAATATTTTAACATCTTTGTTTAAATGCTCAGAAGTATTACATCTTTGATGCCTCAGTGAGAGGGAAAAAAAATAGAAAAGAAGTCCCATTTCTTTATATCAAGGTTTATAGTAATTTTTGGTTGTTCAAAATCACATATAATCTCAGAGTCTAAGAATTCTTTGGAAAGTTGTATAACGTTTACGTGCCCCCGTGGCCTCAACAAAAAACAAACAAATTGCATCTCCAGTAAGAACGCTTTCAAAATGTTTCAACTGGACGTTGCACCTTCTAGCTAGGAGGAGGGACCGTGAAAGTTTACCCCCAAGAATGCATAGGAACTGGGCTCCTCACCAGATTGGAGGAATGCGAAGCCAAACAAAGCTACAGTCCAAAGAGTCGTGCCTCAGTTGGGGCACAGGCAAGTGTAATGTACCACAATACGTCAGTTTATCAGAGTTGCATGGGCTCCCATTGAAATCCCGCACACACAATGGCTCGCTGCCTCTTCAAGCAACAGCACTCAACAATTACTGAGGATATTGGTCGGAATACAATGAAAAAACAATAGGCAGGAACCGTGCAACTGGCCAGGCCAGGGCCACTCCCTTCGGACAGAAAAATCTCTCACAGGGTTGGAAAGGATGATTGGAAGAGCAGCTCTCCTAGATAAGAAATTGATCAAGAAACATCAAGTAGGATAATAAAGGTATATAGAGAGAGAGAGAGAGAGATTCCTTATATATGTAGTTTTCTTGAAGTTCCCGAAACAGCCCGTTGTGGCTTCGGTCTGCTTCCGGAAGGTCAGAAAGCTGTGGCTTGTCTGAGGCACCAAACGTCGCGCGCATACCTGCCAATGCTTTGCTGTAAGTTCACCAGGAGAGAAACTTTGAAAGGACGCAAAATTATGCAAATTAAACAATCTGAAATCTCAATGTTATGTTTGACATGTTTAATCATGGATCACCGTAGTTGTCTGGCCAAGCATTCTTTAGAGATCCTTTGAGCAAGTCGAGGATAACTTTTCACGCTCAACTGACTCAACTTAGAGCTCTGCGCACCTCACCAGTCCGAGATTGTAGCAGCCTTGACATACGATGCACAATGTGAAGTAACCCTGTGCACACTGCAGTCTAGAGCTGCAGCGGTGTCTTGGGAAGGTCAGCCAGCCTTTTCAGAAGGTCCTCCATGGAGTCAGCACGGCAGTGCGTCTCTATCGAATTGATGTCCTCAGCTTGTCTTCACTCCAAGCACCACTCAAACACATATCGGCATGACCGCGTGACATTGGCCCTCGAAGCCCTGGCCTCGTGAACATCCGTGCTTCTTTGGAGAAACCAAACTGCCTCAGTTCTAGAGCTGCGAGCATTGGGCTGCTTCAAAATCCGTGCTTCTATCTTGCTGCTTCAAAATGTCGCGGTTGCACATCGTCTATATAGTCTAGACTTTACTGAAGCCTGCCTACTCTACCTACACAGTGCCACAAAAATCACAAAGAACCACATCGCATGTTCCACCAGCTCAGCAGCTCACTGGAGCCTTTCCCAAGAAAATTGTAAAAAGTCTGTGCTTTGTGAAGACACCAACAGGCTTCAGAATGCTTGTGGTCTGGCTTGAGATTCACGAGACATTTTACCCTTCGTTGAGAGTCATCTTCCAATCTTCCAATCCTCTGGGCTCTTGGGCTCCTTAGCTCCTTGCATCTAGATTTGCATCCTCGAGATCTGCTTCAGCTGTCTCCTTTCGGCCCATAGAGTCCATGAAGCAATCCCAAAAAGCATTTCGACCAATTGGCCGTGTTGCAAACAGATTCTTGAAGGCTCTGAATATTGCAAGAAACATGTATGAGGTACGTCAAAAAATTCCAAGGACCATTTTTGGCTGGTTGATTTGACCCTGGCAAACGAAGATCGAAGTCACCTCAAAACACATGTCCCTTAGTATCAAAATGACCCTGCGTCCTGACTGAGGATGGCGATGGGTTCGAGGAAAACATCCAAGCTGATTACAAGGGCCAGCAAGGCCACCTGGTAGGGCTAAGTGTCTCCAATCGCACAACGAGCATTATTGGAGTCATACAAACGTCAGAGATGGATTTGGGTGTTCACGTGGGACAGCTGCTATATATTCGGATTTACTGTGGTCATGGCATCTTGCTTTCGCCAAATGCCAAATAGCACGCATGGCAACTGCTGCCGAACATGCTCATGTTCATCACTATTGCCAGCGCTGCTGCCACAAGCTAGCAAACCTAATTGCAGTTTGATTTTGCGAAGCTGGTGTCCATGGCTTCATGTGTATTTGCAGTATTAATTGAGCTTTCTTACGGATCTGGTGCCTGTTGTACGTTCTAGTAAATTCCAAAATAGACTTGTGGCCGATTGCGTTTCGAAGGAAACTGTTGCATGAAATGGGCACTCTTGCACGCTGTCCTCTCAATTGTAGTGCACGCATTCACCGTGGGTGTGGCGGGCACACCACCAATTCTGTGGTCCCTTGGAACCACGGATCGAAGTTCCGCAGTTTCTAACTGCAAATTTGTGGCAGGCGCATTTTTGAGATGTGGGTGTTTGGATGAGGGCTCTGATTTCGTGGCTAGTGCAAGCAGCCATTAACGTCTGAAGACTGTGTGTAAATTCATCTCTTCTGCAAGGCTCAACGGCAGCCACAGCCTTTTAAACTTGT